CACATATTACAATGAAATCCGGATCATGGATAAAGTCCCCCTAAATTACGACATGAATACAGAACAGCGGACTCACCCTGTACACCTACGTGCCATCTCCGTGACGCCCCGTATCGTGACGTAATTACTAAAATGACACCTAACCCCGTGAATCAACCTATGGCGACCAGCGGTAAACTACAAGAATAATGTTTTATTAAATACCACAAGTACAAACAACAAAAACTATTTACACAGTTTTGTCATTATATTTTTATCGTGATTATTTATTCACTAATGATGTTACGTACCTAGCCTTCAGGTTCAAAACAGTTCGTTAGGGCGGACTGTGACGCCACTCGCAAAAATCAATGGCATACAATTGAACGAACACATAGCGTCGGAGAATATCGTAGTGCATGGATTTGTATGAATGAATGCTATTACTCAATGCAAACATCGACCGGTCCACTACCATTCCCTGTGATTGCAATTCAGCATCCTCGCCCCCAACCGTGCTCCATCTCCAGCTAACCGATCCGTTACCACATCGCCGCCACTGCAGTCGATAGCAACATCAAACATCGACCAACATAGGAAAACACACACCTTGCACTCAGTGATCACAGAGTGTTAAGCCGTATCTCATAACACTAAGGCGATAGTGACAGCGGTGGAAATGACGAGAGCGATCAATATTTACCTGGACGCTGCGCATCCGATTCATCACAGAATTTACAGGCTGAGACTAGACGGTCCCCTAGTCAATGAAGTATCGCGTATTAAGCTTACACAGTTTCTACATTCCAAATCGATTTGATGGTAGTGGCAGGATTACCTCCCCTTGTCGCTAGTACTTTGTAACTCGGTAATCAGTACTCGAACAATGGAGAGTGGTCATCTTGGTCTGGCTGGACAACGGATTATCCGGTAGAAGATTGAGAAACTGGTCTGGGACTGACCATTGTCCAGTTGCTGTAGACTGCGTTTGTGTTGGATCTGGATTATTTGAGCGGTTCATTACGAGTGATTATTTATTCAGTGATGTTATCGATTAGGCCAAATAAACACAGATACTAACACAGATGACCATGAACAGAACACAGCAACCTGTCTTGAAGGGATATGTCCACTACTTGTCTATAGACAACACCACTTATGTATAGCTTTGTATGTCAGGGATGCACAACAGGTCTGTAGTCTAGTTCAGGTGTTTACGTGTTATATGAGACCCGTGAAGGTCCGGGTTAGAATTGATCTTCAGTAACCCATGCTTTTCGTAAGAGGCGACTAACGGGTGGTCAGGTTCGCTGACGTGGTTGACACACGTCATCGTATCCCAGTTGCGTAGATCGATGCGCATGCTGTTGTTATAATTAACATATATCTCAAATTTGAACGAAATCGGTGAAGACATACAGATTTTCGAAAAATCTACCGCTTCATAGTCTGTTTATCTCAGTGAGATAACCCTGGTATGAACGCGACATTGAACTCCATTTTAGACATATGAAGTGGCCAGGTTTCGTTGATTGTTAACGTCACAGTCAGCACCACTCCAGCTGTATGGCTGTTTATACGTTCATCATGCCGATGTTAATACAACGATATATGCCGTTGTTAATACTGACTGACTGACTGAGTTTGGTTTTACGCCGCTTTTGGCAATATTCCAGCAACATCACGTCGGGGGACACCAGAAATGGGCTTCACACATTGTACCTGATGTTAATACAGTGATATATGATAATGTTTATGCACAAATATATACCGATGTTAATAATCATGTATGACGATGTTTATTCAGCTGGCTGAATTTAGTTTTACGCCGCTTTTAGCAATATTCCAGCATTATCACGGCGGGGGACACCAGAAATGGGCTTCGCAAATTGTACCCATGTGGGGAATCGAACCCGGGTCTTCTGCGTGACGAGCGAACGCTTTAACCACTAGGCTACCCCCACCGCCCCTTTATTCAGAAATATATGACGATATTTCTACAGGCATATATGACGAAGCAGTACAAATGCCGATGTATGAATAATAACATATGACAATCATATTTTTGATCTTTTATCATTTTATCTTTTATCGTACACTAAGTGATTATTCATATCTGAAGTTCACCCTTTCATCATTCAGAATGTTGTAAATCCACTAATTTTCCAAATATGATTGTTAAATTTCTAAAATCTGAGTTTGTTGTTTTGTGACAACGAGGTGACGTTTCTTTCGCCCGTGAGTTTATATGGCGATGTTTGTACAGTAATATTACGAAGATGTTTACGCAGTAATACATCTTCAATACAGTATTACTTAGGTGACGTGCATACGTTGTATTCTGGAGCCATGTGTCGCCTATTTTTTTCAAGAATGTTCAATCGGGATGATCTCAAAATTAAATAACGCGAACCCAGTCGAGCAGAAATTTGTGACTTTCATATTTTTGTTTCTATGTTTCTGATATTTAAATCGGTGCTGTATATTTCGTCACGCTGGAAACATGGTTTTATTCAGAGCGTGTGTTCAGCGCAAGATTAAAAGTTCATTGTTAGTATCATTCACCGCTCTAATGACTGAGCATGAAATTAAGTCATCAGTACATTAATATCTATATTTTAATATATAATTGATTTTTACAACTTCTGAACTAACTGTAACAATGAGTCCAATGATAGTACATGATTCTCCATAACAAATCATCATCACCACCCCACCCCCCACCCCCACGCCCACCATGAAGTACGAACGGCCCCTTAGTCTTGTAACGACTTACGGCTATGATGGCTAAATCAATAATCCACACATCGCCTTACCCCGATATGTGTCACTGTGATGTAATACAATTCCTTGGTGACTTGTAGGTCGCATAAATGAGATCACGAAGCTGACCTCCGTATGCATGACAGGCTACAACGTGTTATTGCCGTCAGTCACCCGCAATACTGACTCGGTCATGCCAGCCATCATCACAAACCTAATTCAGTCTTTGTTCCCCGGTTTAATCATAGCGGATAAGCGAAACATGTTTGATTATCTGGCGATATTTTCAGCTGTCATACAGCTGAAACGATGCACCTAGTGCCCCGATTAATAAATATACTCTGCAATCATAGAACCGATTATTAAATGCAAAAGCAACACAGGGTGTTAGGGTTCGAACTCTGAAACGTGACTGACGGGCAATCATTCCTCATAGTTTCCTCATATCCGCGTCCGCCGTTGCTCAGAGGATGGGTGTACGGGAAGCGACCTCATATTAGCCCACGTACATTGAGCGTTTTAGGCACAGGTCCTTAAAAATACCTTTTGTCGAAATGTCAATACATCGTCATCATTGTCTATCTTAGGAAAGGCAAATCAATGAACGCGTGAAGTCACAGAATGTCCTGTAAGAATGCCGAGATCAGACAAGCACCAGATGACCTTACAATAGCTCTTGATGTAACCGCAAGTCGATATGACAACGCACTGGGTCTCACAGTAAGGGTATAAGTGATTTTCTCGGTGTCTTGGGTTGTGCAGTTCTTAATCTGTATGGTTAATTGTGCGTCTGTACCTTTTTATGGATTATACTTACGTAAAGTAAATTAGGTTCACTGCGTGTATTACCATTATGTCGATACGTGTAAACTTGTACAATAAACTACGGCCATGACGAACTCAAAGAGACCAGTATTTGTAGTTCGTTATATCCGTAGTTACAGTTTCCAAATTTTGCTAGCCAGTTGGACTAGCTATGCCTGAAAGTTACTAGAATACAAAACATTTCACTAGTCCGAAATTTGAATGTAGACGCGGGTTTCATCATTAAGCTGCTAATAGGATGGACATTTTTATCAGGCCACGATCTTGCATGATTTAAAAGTCGGAGAGTGTGATTTATTTACAAAATGACCCCATGACAATTCACTAGCCAGTCGAGCCAGTGACTGTGGAGATTTACTGGCTCGACTGTTGGCTATTTCGCACACTGGTTCGTTATATCCGTAGTTTGTTATAACACACTTCAACTAAAATACACAGCAAGTGGTCGAGACCCCAAAATATATACCTCCGTCAGTTCGTTATAAGCGTATGCTCGGAATGTGAGGTGAGGTGAAATTGGGTTTAACGTCGTACTTGAGAATATTTCGCTCATATGACGACGTGCATGCGTGTGTATGTGTAGGTGCGGCTGCTTGTACTAGCCCAGACTTAAGCTGGTTTTATAGTGCTAGCCCACTGAGATACAATGCAGCAGTGAAGCATGAATACCCCACTCAGACACATTATATTGACTCCGAGCCGACCAGTCCTTGTTGTACCCATTAATGCCGAGCGCCAGGCAGGGACCAACAAGTACCATATTTTAACGTCTTTTGGTATGACGCGGTCGGGGATCAAACCCGCGACCTTCCGCTCTCCGGACAGACGCTCTAACCAAAGTAGATTAGTGTGGTTCAAATATTTAAAAAAATATTGATATTTCTAACCCGGATATGCTCGGAAAGTAGATTAGTGTGGTTCAAATATTTAAATAAATAATATTGATATTTCTCACCCGGATATGTTTTTAAAAATATGAAATTAAGCGGTTTAGACGTTTTCGATATATGCTCTTTTGTTCAAGGAATATGGACAGGCTTACGTAAAAATATTCCGGTCATATGTGAATGTTCTGAATCACTTCAACATGCCTCTGGTTATATTATGTTAATATATATCGTTCCATAATGTATTTATTAATTTTAATCATATTACAAATGTGCATCTTGTTAATTATACGAAAGCTAAAGTATATATAAATCTATACTTATATGTCTATCAAAGAAATTAACAACCACCCGATGTTCTTTCATATGATATTACTATGATTAGTGAGTCAGCCATGAGACATGATGTTACTTTAGTTCAGCTATAGTTATATGAAATATTCGGGTGGTCTTAACATACTTTGAGCAGTATGTATTATAGCATCACGTGTTTTGGGACATCTGACGTCTTCTGGCTTTGTGTGATGAAGTTGTTCTTTGTTCCAGATCTGTGGCTCAAAGATCCTGGGGCTGAATGCAAGGGATCATTTCCGGGTGGGGTCATGAGGTCCGAACACGTAAGTACGCATGCGCTGCCTCCATACTTGATCACATGATCACGTGTAACAATTGTGTGAGTGGTTGGGTAAACACCGCCGTCAGAAATATTACAGCAATAGTACGCCCATGTCGACATTGTTGGCAATGTGAGGATCCGCACAGTAATGTGTCATTGTTATTATTTTCCGGGGCGGTGAGGTAGCCTTGTGGTTAAAGCGTTCGCCCGTTAGGCAAAAAACCCGAGTTCGATTCCCCACATTTGTACAATGAAACCCAGTTCTGGTGTCCCCCGATTTGATATTGCTGGAATATTGCTAAAAGCGGCGTAAAACCATTGTCACTCACTCATTATTTAGCGAGTTTTACCTTCACGGGTGAGACGATGTGAAATGGATTTATCCCGTTCAAGAATATTATATAGCAATGTGTGGCGAGTTGCTGAGCGAGTTGTGTGTGTGTCTGTTTGTACTAGTCCGGACTCATGCCGGTTCTGTTAACAGTGCAACTATCAGAGCGCAACTAAACATGGACACGTGTTTTATCCCCAGGTAGCACACCGTCCTTTAACGCTGTATGTTATGACGAGAACAGGGATCAAACCCCTAACTTCAACTCTCCTGGCAGACACCATATCCATTTGACCACGATTGTGGTTTTCCCTTCACTAATCGATAATCTTGATCAAAGTGGGGAATTGGTTTATTTATTCATTAAGACCAAACACAGACGTAAAGAGCAATGTGAGACGTGTTTCTGAAGACATGTTTTTAGGGTATATATGTGTATATTCTGTATATATGTAATAAGAGTACATCTCAGAATTCACGTGGTTACTTGAAAATAATTTAACATGGATGATTAATCGCAAAACCCTTCCCCGGCAATCCTCCAACCCATCCCCCGAGGTTTTGATCACCTTTAACTGATCATTACTCCGCAAAACACCTTTTCCTTCCGGAAGTGACATCACCAATCGCCGCCACTTCCGGCTTAGACAGTGTTTTGCCACATCAAAGAAGGGTTTTCAGCAATCCATCAGAATCCTTGTTAAATGTTACACCACGGCACTTTTGCCTCCCAACAAATACCACGACTCCATCATTGCCCCCTAACGGGATATATTCCTAGTGACAGGGAACTTGAGTTGTGTTTACTGAAACTCGGCTGATGCTTCGGACGTTCATGGCGAGGAGGGCAAACAAAAGAGGCGTGGGTGAGTCGTGCTGCAATCAAATCTTGACCTATTCGGTCCACTGTCCATTGGCAACTTGTAGCCCCTTCGGCTAGGAGATATGTCCTTATTGGATTGTCTGGATATTGTGGAATAATTACTGATGTCGATGCCGTTGCCGATGCCGACGCCGTTGCCGATGCCGATGCTGATGCCGCTTGCACCCAGTCCAGTAGTGGTCGAATTCCACTAATTCGTTACATGACCGTGACTACGGATAATGCCAGTCACCACTGCAGGGAGATCCGGATATTGGCCGAGCACTGGAAGCTGGTGGCGCCCGCTCGGCCAAATTGAACGGTTGTGTCAGTAGGCAATTGATTTGGCTTTCTTCTCGTAAGTATTTTCTCAGTCGCCCGTCTGTAATCGGCGTTACGACTGTAATTTTAACACAAGGTTTTCCATAAAATCTGATAAACGAGCCTTTTTTCATCAGAAGTAGTGATTTCTCCCTCGCTCTGTGCGGGTGGTTCTGCGAATAGCACCCAAAGGCTCCAAAGGAAGGTTTCGATTTTCGTGCCATCGCTGGGATCTCCCAGAATCCATTTCTCTGTGTGACTGAACTCTTTACACGCCTCACGGCTCATACAGGATCGCAGGCATGGATCTTGGACATCTTAAATGAATTCTATGTTGCTTGATGTATGAGTTCTTACAGGGGCGGTGGGGTAGCCTAGTGGTTAAAGCGTTGGCTCGTCACGCCGAAGACCCGGCTTCGAATCCCCACATGGGTACATTGGGTGAAGCCCATTTCTGGTGTCCCCCGCCGTGATGTTGCTGGAATATTGCTAAAAGCGGCGTAAAACCAAACTCAGTCAGTCAGTTCTTACTTAACCAGTCCTTGACGCTGTTTTACACATAAGCTTGCGTACAGAGGAAATGGCACATATCCTGTTTTGGACATATTTTCAAAAACAAAGTAAATATTTTGAAAGGTGTTTTGATTGTGACTTACAAGTGACAAACATTGTGTACACAACGTCAAAACACCACAGCAGCTGTGACGTGGCCACCGCCTCGCGTTCCAGTCTATTGTCTGAATAATGGATGTCTCCGGTGCCTTCTGGGGTCTGGTAATTGGGGAATCTTGTTTACTGAATAACTGTTTTCTAGGGATCTACAGTTTCTAGGGATCTGTAGGCACTGAAAATGATTCCTCGGCTACTGGCGACACACACACACACACACACACACACGCACGCACGCACGCACACGCACACGCACACGCACACACTCTTACTGCATTTCACACAGCCATTCCCTCTGTAACTGCTTGTCGACTGATATCATTGCTAGTAGTTCGAATCACCCTTTCGACAATAATTTTTAAAAATAAAATTCTAGACTTTTGCAATCGTAGACTGTATTTATATGTTATGATTATTAACACATATTTTAAATTTTAACGAAATCGGTGAAGAAATGAATATTTTAGAAAATTATACCGCTACACTTGTTACATAAAATGCACAAGGGCTGACGCTCGCGATGCTACAAACCTGATCGAAAACGGGACAGCCCGAATATTTTAACGTGCGGTTCAATCAAACCTTACGTTGTTCACACACAAGAAATGAGTTGAGCTTGTAGGTCATTCTGTTACCTTTCTGCTAATTGTATGTCTAACTGCATTTCATATTTGACCACTGACCCTCGCATTAGCACTACCCTCTGCTTTGAACAAACGTCTGGCCTCTCTTCGGTAAACATCAACAGTTTCCGTAGATGTTTTAGTGTCTTTGAAAGAGAAAACGGCTCAGCCTAGTTCCCGGGGTCTGCTGCGCTAACGCTTTGACACACGGATCTGAAGGTCCTTACCTATTGAATATAGTTCGCATCTTTCTTTTAGCAAATTTGATGACGAAAATATCGCCGTGTATGTCCCGTATCTTCCATCGTACCCATCCAGGGTAGGTTTAGCGGATATATGGTTCGATTGAAATAGCTAGGGAAAGCGTTTAGATCCATATAAATAATATTAATGATAGTTTTTGTCGTCATATTTAGACTCTGTATTTTTGCTATTAATATGAAAAGCCATGTATTTTCTATTTTTTTCTATTGCATACTGATAAAGTTCAATCTATTGTTTTTTAACTGTGGGTGTGCTTGTAAAATTGTGGACTCTCAGTGACATATAGTCCTTATCTTGAATTACTTTGGTACATATAATGTTTTTTCACAGAATGTTGTCACATTAAGTGTCTGAATCGGTTTGCAAAACAAAATGAAAACGTTATACCAATATTATTCAGAAATGTTTATGATAACAATAAACATGGTGAATCAAATGATCTATACACAAAAATACACACAAGTATATATACTGCTCAATACAATGAATTTGACACACTATTTTACTAAACTGAATATATAAATATACACAGTATGATTACCATGTCAATACATTACCATGAAAATACATACATTGCCAAAATAGTACATATATTTGAAGATGAACGTTTTAAACTGATGTACATTCCTCTATTTGTGATAATGAAACCTGTCCTGGGTACTGTAGTGTTTATGGCTTGACGCCAGTATCAGAGTTTGCTATATATTGATCATTTTGAGCATTAGAATAGATCTGATACAATAACCATATAATTTGATATCAGCAATTATTCAGCCAGATAGCAGTTAACAAGTTTAATTAAATGCTGCAATGGACTCTTTTTGCTTTACTTTATTACACTTTACAGCAGTGCATACATACATAGTTCAACACACAATCAGTGATTTTGCTTTGAATTTTGGAGAACCTGCTCTGAATTTATTGACCAATTTACTATTGAATTAAAATTTTATGGTGTGTATCTCCAAATTGCATCTTTTTGTAGATATTTGGGTATTGTGTTAACACCTAAACATATTTGTACTAAAGCACTAACTACTCTTGATGCACAGAGTAAAAAGGCTATTTTGACATTGTACAGGTATTAGAAGAAGGTTGGAAATAGACAATGTCAAGATTTATTTAAGATATTTGATGCTCAGCTTGTTTCTGTAGTGTGTTGTGGTGCAGAAGTATAGGGGACCTCATAGAGTTAATTATTGAAGATGTACAGCATAAAATGTGTAAATGTTTTCTCAAAATGTGTAAACCAACAAACAATGCTATGGTTTGGGGAGAATGTGCCAGAGCCCTCTCCAACCTGTCAACACCACAAGGGCTATTACGTATTGGTGCAGGCTAATGTATTTAGATGAACACAGACTGCCAATGCTACCTAATGGACGACTCTGGCTGTACCACATTGGCTACTCATATTCAAATATTCTGTTTGGGCTTGGATTTGAATATTTGTGGTTAACACAGGATCTGGGAAATGTGAAGATATTTATTCACCTTTATAAACCATGATTATCTGACAACCTGCAACAATCATGATGTAGTTCTGTCAACTGTTTATCTGATTCCTTCTATTAATATACTCATGCCAATAATGGTTGTCACCCCCTTCAAATTTTTTAATTGGAGAGGGGGTGTGGGTTGGGGGTGTGAGGTGTGTGTGGGGTTGGGGTGGGGAGATGGGTGACAACCATTATTGGCATGAGTATTTTTCATAATGTATCCATTTCCCTATTGCATAAAAACTGTAGCTGTACCTGGGGTTGGAGTGGGGTGGGGAATGGGATACTTTCAGTTTTATATACATGTACATGTATATCATAGTCATGTGATTTTCCATATCCAGTAGATAACACGCAGATGGTCACATGTGTAATCAACTTCTCGGTAGCATCAGGCAGATGTTGCCATACCATGACTATTGTTATACTTTT